CTGACAGGTCTGCTGGAAACTATGTTGTCAGAAAAAGACCCCTCCCCTTGTCTCCTCCCATTAGGAGCACAGAGATGACAGTCTCTCTGGAGCTAGGGTTACCTGAACTCCACCCATTAGCAGATCAATAACTAGGTAGCTATATGTAGTTTGCAGTTGAGAGAAAAAGTGCGGTTTTTCTTCTTTGAAAAACTTTCCCACGGCAGGTCTTGCAGTCATAAATCTTTCTTCTTCCTTCTTTTCTCTTTTCTCGCTAATAAATTTTGTTTTAAAACTTTGCTGACCGCTGTAAAATTCATTTTAGAAATGCACCAACCCCACCAGACATCAGTTAGGTTCAAGTTTATGTTCTGCAACATGAAAAGCAAACAGAAAAGATACAGAAGGCACTAAAGGAGGAGAAGCCATCATTGCTTAGGTACATGAGGCTTACATAAGGGCTTTGGCAGAAGGCAGAGGTAAGGTGGCTTTCTGGTGTACTGAGGTAGTGAATGCCAGGTGTACAATAGGCCACTGAGAATATGCTTATTAGTTCCTTGTAATGTCCACATTTTTTTTTTGATTGTCTGAAGGCTGGCAGTGGCTTTCCCGATGCTGGCCATTCCACAGCCCTCTCAACAATTTTAGAAAATTAAATATACCCAATGTTAATCCCCTTTCTGCTTGGAATACTTAGAATGATTTTGGTTTTGCTACTGAATTACATACCGGAAATAGATGAAGACCCTCAGATATGGTTATCTACAATGGTTTGCCTAACTTGATTAGAATAATGAACAGTATCATCGATAGTGGGGGCCAGAAGGACAACAGTAATTCATCTTTTTTAGAGCCAAAGCAGTTTCTTAAATTATCATCAATAATTTGCTAAATAGAAGAATAAATTTGGGGGAAATAAATGACTATTTCAATAGAAGATTATAACAGAATAAAGAACTACAAAGTCTCTGAGAGGCTTGACTATTTCTGACTGGAGAGGAGAGATTACAAAAAGAAAACAAAGCCAGGGTCTAAATTCTCAGCTGAAGTTATGGCAGAGAAGGTATGGCAGATATCTTCTGTGACTGTGCTTAAAGGTTCTATCTTATGTAGCCTTAGAATCAATGAATCTGAAAAGTAGACTATGGCTTAAAATTCCAAATGGCAAAATTATAACTTATGTATATTTCATGGCTGTATTACATCTTCTATGTGAAAGTTAGGATATTGATTGGGAAAGTATAGGCTATAGAACTGGAATGCAGGCTTTAAAGATCAAAATTCCACTGAGCCTCCCTTGCTATCAAAATAGTTCTCCATGTCGGTAAAAAAGCAAATTCCCCTTGTTTGAGTCCCTTATCATGTCACTCATCAGGAAGGATGATGATTCTCCTCAAATAACCTCCAATAGATCTCAATGCTGAAAAACCCATAAGCAGAGTTGGTTTCAGCAGATTTCAAAGAACAAGTAGAAATTCCAACCTTAAATATAGCATATCCACTGTAAATCACTGAGAAATTTCAAATAGTCCTTAGCAAATGTCATCTGAAACCACTGTAGCTTAATGACAAAAATGTATGTAAAGTGTTTAGAGCAAAATATAAAAGTGAACAAGTAACTAAAAGGCCAAGGAAATAGGTTTGTTTTTTTTTTAATACTGACAAAATGAAACTTACTACCAACAAAAAGTCTCTGTAACAAAAAATACTGGTCTAGTTTGAGTACAGTTGCAGTTCTAGATACACTGATTGCCATACAGTGCTAATATTCAAATTATTAACAGAAGTTTCAAGAACAGGGTATCACTCACTGGCTCGTGCACATCTAGTTTACAAATTTTCCATAATATTAAAACATTTATTCCAAATTAAATATATCAAACCCAAATTGTCTAACTATCTAACTGCATTAAATAAATCCTAAACTAAGAGAATATGAAAGATAGAATCTACTCTATTGTAAAAAATAAAAGTAATTCTACATTTTAGAAGCATCTTATTTGTGAATGGCACACAATCTAACAATGGAAGTGTTCCTGCTTAATTCAGTCCAAGTTTCACTTTAAATTCAAACATTACAATAAAAACTAGCTTATTAATGGTATCAAGGACAAATTTTATGTATGCATATACTGTCTATTGTTAAAGCATTAAGATAATTTATTATAAAACAGCTATGCAAGACTAAAACATTTAAGCATAAAACAAAATTCAAGAAATAAGAAGAATTAAACAAAAATGCATCAAGAATAACAACCTCCCCCCAAAAGGTTGTGCTTATTCAGTATAAAATTGTACCCTAAATTTTCTCATGGCTGATTCCATGGGTTGTATGACTATTAGAAACCAAACTTTTCTCAAAATTCTCTAGAATCTTTTCCTAATGAGAAATATATGTTTAAGTTGAAATTTAAAATACATTTCCACAGAAAATATTATAAAAAATAGAAAATATAGTTGATGCCATACTCAGAAACTTTATAAATTAAATACGAATACATGAACTAACCCAGAAATCTACTACCTTTATATAGAGAGATTTATTTAAATAGCTATAGATATCTATTTATAGATATATACATGTGCATATATATACATATATGAATATGTATATATTTGTAAAATATGTTTGTCTTGTTTGCAAAAGACATTAGGATTGGTCATAAGGATGCACAAAACTGCCAGAGAACACAAATTTCAGGTAGATAATAAATTAAGAGGAAATTACCACTGTGACATTGGTCCAGTGTAGAACATAAAGATTAGGGTCTGAGCCCTGTGGTTGGGGAAGAAAGAAAGAAAAGGAAGGGGGGAAAAGGAAAGGAAAGAGAGAGTAAGAAGGAGAGAGGAAAGAAGCAAAGAAGAAAGATGAAAAATATACATGAAAAACACACTATTTGCAATGTAAAACTGCAATTTGGGATGGCAAATAAGAAACTTCCATTTGTCAACACAGAAATAGCCATGATTAATGTAAAAACAATTCATAGATTTTCCAGCAGAGGTAAGTGCTGACAGCCCAGATTAACTCTTTCAACATCTTGTAAACCAAGACTCCCCAGAGCCTTGTGGATGGGAAGCATATTTATATCAACTCTGTGACCATTCAGCACCATGACATGAAGTGTCTGTTTAGGAGGTCATCTCCAAAATGTATCCCATACATCTTCATGCACAAGAGATGATAATTTATCACCTAGGCATACGATCTACTGTAAACTAATCCAAACTGCTGATGATACACTAAATCAGTTTGAATGATGAGTATAAATAAAGCTGGAAGCGAAGTACTGAAGGATACAGACCTATCTGATCAATGAGATGTCACAAGGCAAATGAAATGCAATGTTGACAAACATAGAGTCCCTCAGTTGAAAATTGTCCAAATCAAGTATCAAAGCATAAAGGCACGCATTAGTACAAGCTTGGAATGAAAGTTTAATGGCGGGAGTCAGAGGGTATATTCTAACCATTTCAGATAAAACTGAACAGACTGGGTCAGTGAAAAAGAAAGAATTAAAAATTGATATATTTTGCCTACCACAGAATGTTCGACAGGATAAAGAAAAACGTTGCAAAACCATAATCCTTTCCAAATAATATAACTATAGTTATTCAATCTTCTGAGCAAATCCATACACACAGATGAAGAAAACACAATAAAAACACAATAAAAATTGTATATAGAAAATGATTTCACATCAACTTGCTACAAGGAAATCAAATTCAATTTGTGTTGCCCTTATGAACACTTAGATATTTTCTGAAACTGTCATGCTAAAACTTCAATAAGAAAAAACAAAGGAGTAGGGATAAGGACTGACATTCCTCCAGAGAGTTGATATTCATGGAATGCACTCTTGAGAAAAAAGGTTTTCCCAACTATGTGATCAGAATAGAGCCTTTAGCATCTGGTAAATAGGTTCAATGGGTTTAGCTATTCTGAAGGTGTCCCTAATGGGAAGAGCTGATTAAAGTAAATTTCAACCCCTGTTGAAATAAATCTGTAAAAATTTCTGAAAGAAATTATTCTTCAAAAATTTTTTATATATTTTTGTTGTAATATATGTATGCAGTTTTATATATTATACCATATTTAACACTCGTATTTTATCTTTCAGTTTATTTGGGGTAAAGATAGAATTATACTACTAAAATATAGCCCGATCCCAGATGTAGTTTATTTAAATTTCAAAATGAAAAGCTTACTAAGAACAGATTGGATTGATTGCTCTCCCTGTCTTAGCATAATTGTATTTCAGGTGAACATCAATTTACTTTAAAGGACACTTCTAAGTAGCAGAATGCATCATAAATAATTCATCAATCACAGCTACTAGGAACATGATTTACTCCAGCAGATTCAATGGAATAAAAGTTTATTTTTCTATATTTGTATCTCCTTTAAAAAGTTTATTAATCTTCCTTTTCTAAGAATCTACTTTTAGATTCCACACTTTATACTCTAAATGATGCATGACAAAACTGTCTCTTTTTCTTCCTTTATTTAAAAAAAATCTTGTATTTTCTAATTAAAATAAAAATATTTAAATATATTTGGAATAACATTCTATGTATATCAACAGTTAAACAACAACATAAAAGTAACATATCTGAAAATAGCCTAAAGATTTCTCAAATACATAATTCTAATAATATTAACATAATTTGTTTTCATCTTATAAACTTTTAAATGGAAGAAAAGAGAAGCAGACTTTCTGAAAGTCTTATATAGATTTCTTAATGATATGACATATTTGAAAATTACTTTAAACAAAAGCTACAAATTAAACAGATTCTAAATTGTACAACAGTTAAAGTTTTGTCAGTTGATACAGTGAAGTATCCTATCTAGAACTTTCATTTGTCATATGGAAAGACATTGCTTGCCTTACAAATCTTAAAAGTTTTCAATGAAATTCAGCAAATTTGTATGAGCAATTTCCCAAGCCATGAAATATTATTGAAATAAATATATTGACAAGGAAAAATATAAAAAAAATAAAAAGCATTTTACTTACTTGCAGACCCCTCTGAAAAACTGAATGTCCCATAAAATTAGCCAGCATTCTAATTAAAGCAGCACCCTGTAGAAAAAGAGTATTAAAAAGAAGAGAAAAAATTTCAATGAAGTATCATTATTCTAAAATTGTCCTATGTCAATCAAAATAGTCTGATTAAATTCATGCTACTCTATTTTTTAAAATAGTTAAGAAAACAAAAATCATGAAAACAATATCCCACTTACACATAACAATTGCATTTTTTGTTTTGTGGATCTGAAAGTTTTGTGGATGCAAAATGGAAGTCTCCTTGACAGAATATCTCAGGACAATGATAACCTCTAATTCAGGAGAAAGCAATGCTTTATCCAGCACTGTGTATATCAAATTTAATAAAACATATTTCTTATAATTAAAATTGTCTCTTAAGAGAAGAATATAACATTAATAAAGAATCATATAACTTTGAAGTAACATAGGTACTTACTATAACCCTGGCTTAATCAAGAATAGTTAACTTTTTGAAGTGGACAGTAGAGCATACCAAGCAGTTAGGTTGCTTGGGTTCAGATCTGACCTTTGCTACTTACCCACCATGTTTACTCAGGAAAATTATTTAAGTTCTCTGTTTCTCATTTTTTTTCTCTTGTAAAGTGAAAGTAATAATAGTTGTTTTGAAGTATAACTAAATTAATATATATAAAACAGTTTGAAACTGGGTGCAGTGGCTCAAGCCTGTAATCTCAGCACATTTGGGAGGCAGAGATGAGAGGATTTCCTGACATAAGGGGTTCGAGACCAATCTGAGCAACTTGGTGAGACCTCATCTCTGCAATAAAATCAAAAAATTAGCTGGGTGTGGTGGCACATGCCTGTAGTTCCAGTTTCTTGGAAGGCTGAAGTGAAAGGATCACCTGAGCCCACTAAGTTGAGACTGTGGTGGCTGTGAGTATGTCACTGCACTCCAACCTGGGCAACAGAGTGAGAATTCAACTCAAAAAAAAAAAAAAAGAAAAGGAAAAAAAAGTAAACACTCTGGTAGTGTTATCTATTAGTATTATTTTAAATTGGCTAGTTGTTTTCATTTCCTATTTCTCTTAGACCCTGGTGTAATAGCCTGCAATAGTGTGCTTGACATAAGTAACTCCATTTTGTGACAAATCCTCCATCTTAACCTAGAGATGACCCCACTGCATAACCTTCCCATAATCACAAGTCCACATTCTTGTTTCCCTTGGTGCTTGGAAACTCCCTAATTGAAAATTCCATAGCTATCTCTACCCTTTTACAACCAAATGTTCTGCCAAAAATGTAATCATAACTGTGCAGCTTTTGTGGTTCGTGTCTTTACAAATCCCCTGCTCACTCTGTTTGGGGTAAAGAGTTCTTTATGGCACTAGCCTGCTCTTGATCACCAGCTAATAAATGACTCAAATTTGACTCTCTGCATGTTGGTGGCTTTTTCTCACAATCCACTATAATGTTTGGAGGCCCCAGAGAGATTCACCAACCTCAGGAGGCAGCCTCACTTGGGCTCTCCTCAGCTTGGTGGAGAAGTTATAGGAGAGGTGCCCCCCTGAAAATATTCCAGGGTTCCATAACCTCTCATCTGGCTTGGAGGGAGTTGGAAAGACCACTGGCTTCCCATTGCCTCAAAAGAACCTAAGCCTGTCTGTACTCTCCTAGGAGGTAAGAATCTATTCTGTTTGTGGCCATACTTCTGCTTAAAGGGAGTTATGGCCTGATGAGGTCATCCCTTGAACACTATTAATTAAGCCAAGATGTTGGCAGAATAGAGTCCAGGTTCAGTTTCTGATTTCAAATTTGATTTGCCTTTACTGGTTTTATGATTTCAGTTTTGATTTGCCTTTACTGGTTTTTAACAATATGGGGTCTCAGACTTCTAAACCCTCCAGTCTGTTGGATTTGTTGAGGACTACAGTGTCCGCCTTTCAAGGGGCAGGCTCCGGACCCTCTGTAAAGTTCACTGACCTTCTTTTAATGTGGTATGGTCCTTCACAGGGTCTCTGGATGTTTGTGTCACTGAGTCTGTTTGGAAAGTCATTACAGACTTCTGGTCACCCGGACCAATTTCCCTATATTGACCAATGGTTAAGCTTAATTCAAAATCCACCCCCATGGTTAAAGGCATGTTCCCTTGAAACCCCAGTCACGTCTTTGTTTCTAAATCTCTGGCCTGTGTCCCTCCTTTTCCATTCTTCCCAACTGCTACTTCCACTGGATTGTATACTGTTTTACCCCCTTCTACGGAAGATCCCCTTGAGAACCTGGCTGTCTCTAACTCTGATCCTCCACCTTATAATTCTCAGGCTTCTTTGCCTACCATCACCACTTCCACCTCTCATTTGCTTTCTCTGCCTTTGGCTACCCATCTATAATCTCAGATCTATCTGGCCTCCCTCCCTCCCCCCTGGGAAGTTCCTCCTCGGCAGGGGGCAGATCGGACTGAGTGGCCCTTCCTGGTATATGCTCCTTTCTCCACCTATGATCTGTATAACTGGAAATACCAAAATCCTCCACTTTCAGAGAAACCACAGGTTCTAACTTCTCTAATGGAATCAGTCATGTGCACTCACCACCCCACCTGGGATGATTGCCAACAGCTCCTTTTAACCCTATTTACCTCTGAGGAGCAAGAGCACATCAGTGCTCAGGCTAAAAAAAACCTAGCCTCTACTAGCCTCAACTGTGGGTATACAGGAAGAACGTCAGGAAACGTTAGATGAAGATTTTCCCTCTTCTTGCCCAGATTGGGACCCTAACACGTTAGCAGGGTCCAGGGCATCAGATACCTATCACTGGACTTTATTAACTGGTTTGAGGGGAGCAGCCTGGAAATCTATCAATCTTTCTAAAACTACTGAGATTCTCCAGGGTCTCATCCAAGGAATCTCTGGAGGTGTTTCTTAAACACCTTCAGTAGGATTTTTGTATTTATACCCTGTTCGATCCCTCAGCCCCTGATAATGCTCGAGCTATCAATTTGGCATTTGTGGCTCAAGTGACTCCAGACATCCAAAAAAAGTTGCAAAAGCTTGAGGGTTTTGCAGGAATGAATATATCTCAGTTACTCAAAGTAACTGAAAAAGTTTGTAATAACCGTGATGCTGAAAAACAGACACAGGCAACACAAGAGGCAGATAAAACAGTCAGACATCAGGCGAGAATGTTGGTCATTGCCCTCCAAGCTCCCCAGTCTGACTCAAAACCACCACACCAGAGAAAAGTGGAAACTAAGAAAGAACAAAAGGGGACTGAGTGACCCCCATTAGCTAAGAATCAATGTGCATATTGCAGAGAATTTGGTCACTGGAAAAAGGATTGTCACAGTTGCCCAAAAGCTGATGACACCAAGCCAGTCCTGGTTCTACCCTCTGCTGGGGGAACAGAAAATGACTAGGATTGAGGAGGCCAGGGTTCTTTTTCCTTAGGTCCCCAAGAGCCCATGGTAACCACCGCTATTGAGGGACACCCAATCCAGCTTTTGGTGGACACTAGGGCAGAACTGTCAGTCCTAAAGTCATTATTGGGACCTGTGTCAAGCAAACAAATCTCAGTTCAGGGGACAATGGGGGCAATTACCAACTGCAAATTTACTTCTAATCACACTGTTGATTTAGGGCAAAAATGGGTCACTCACTCGTTCCTCATAGCTCTGGACTGCCTGTTCCCCCTCATGGGCCAGGATTTGCTTCAAAAGTTAAGAGCTACCATTTTGTTTTCACCTGACAAAACTGACATGTTTGTTCCCATTGTCTATCAGATGCTTTTAAGTGTTCTGCTTTCTGAAGAATACCTCTTAACTTCTTCTAATTCTTCCACTGAGAATGTCTTGGCAAGCTTACTTCTACAGTTACAGCAGGAGTTTCCTTCAGTCTGGGCAGAGTCCAACCAACCAGGATCAGCAAAGCATCATCCTCCAATTGTGGTGAGTCTGTTGGCATCAGCCACCACTGTTCACGTCCATCAATACCCTATGAGTTTACAGGCCCCAAAAAGAATTGCTCCACACATTAAAAGACTCTCAGCAGCTAATATTTTAACACCATGCAAGTTGGCATGGAATACTCCTTTCTTGCCAGTACAAAAATGGGAACCTCTGACTATTGACCAGTTTAGGACTTAAGGGAGGTCAATAAGCAGGTTGAGATAACTCATCCTACTGTTCCCAAATCATACACATTGCTCAGCCTGCTTCCCCCTCAACATTGGGTGTACACTGTGCTGGATTTACAAGATGCTTTCTTTTCTATTCCCTTGTCCCCTCTCAGTCAACCCATCTTTGCTTTTGAATGGACAGATCCTGATTCAGGGGACACCAGTCAGTTGACTTGGACCTGGCTGCCACAAGGGTTCAAAAACTCCCCAACTCTTTTTGGGGAGGTCTTGCAACAGGACTTATCAGGGTTCCATGACTTGTACCCTGAATGTACTTTACTCCAGTATGTAGATGATCTCCTGCTCATGGCGGCAGACTTAGACACTTGTTTAAAAGGTACTAAGGCTCTGTTACTGCTCCTTCAAGAGTTGGGCTATCGTGTATCAGATAAAAAGGCACAGCTCTGCTTGACCGAAGTCTCTTATGTGGGATACTGGCTGAAAAAATGATAAGTGAACCCTAACCATGGTCTGGAAAGCAGCTATTCTCTGAATCCCCATGGCTAACCTCGAAAAAACAGGTACGAGATTTCCTGGGGGTGGCAGGGTACTGTCAGCTGTGGATCCTGGGACTTGCTGAAATTGCCAAGCCTCTATACACAGCCACAGCAGGAGATCAGTCCTTAAAATGGACTGCTACTGAGGAAAAAGCATTCCAACAGTTAAAGACGGCTCTTACCCAAGCCCCAGCCTTAGCCTCCCAGATGTTGCCAAGCCTTTCCACTTGTTTATTCATGAACAATGGGGAATTGCAAAGGGGGTTCTTACCTAGACCCTAGGACCCTGGAGGTGACTGGTGGTTTATTTGTCCAAAAGATTAGATCTAGTTGCCTCTCGATGGCCATTCTATCTTTGGCCCATTGCTGCTACAGCTGTACTGGTTAAAGAAGCAGATAAACTGACTT